ATCAATGGAATATTGTCAGGTTCTTTTCATATTTAAATGAGTCGCCCATAGAATGGTAGGTTAATCCGGAAGTTGAAATCTTCCATTCCCAAATCATAGTCTTAGCTTGTTTTCGCAAATGCAACTAACGCCTGTCGGCTACCGGATTAACCTATTATTTTACTGGAAACTCATGTCAATACGAATAGTACCTGCCACTATTCCATTCATATTTAAATGACTTGGTCATATTATACTGGGTTAATCCGGTAGCCGGAAGGCGTTAGTTGCATTCGCGAATATAAGGTTAGCTTGTATTCAATAATGCAAGAAACGCCTGTCGGCTACCGGATTAAACTACCTCTGGAGACATCGGGATTTTAAAGCGGCGTGCAAAGCGTAATCGGGTACACCCCAGTTCTCCGAAACCCAGTTGTCCGAAACCCATTACTCCGAAAAATAAAGTCATAATTTACCAGAGAAAGCGGGGGGCGTAGCTTACTTAAACTTACGTCAGTTTCATGCCATGTATTTGGCCAAATTAATGGCATGGACGCATTCTGTTATTCATAGATCTCTCTCTCACTTTGAATTGCATCCATTGCATGGCGTTACCAGAATGGCAGGAACGGGAGATTTATTTTACATTGTGATTCTAAAAAAAGGTTATTAAAACACAATATATATTACGGAACAGTTTATCTTATCTTCTTCAATCTCTTTTATATAGGCAAAATAAAATGAAACATTTTGAAACAGATAAAATAATTTATCGCATAGAACTTTAAGAATAAAACAGTATACAAATTACGTTGTCAAAATATTTCGTCGCATTTAATTTCTTAGTCTCGGTCTCTTATCAAATCGTAAAAGAATAAAACATTCTATACTTAATCACTTGGGATTTATGTTTCGGCATTCGTTTCAGGCATTTTTTTTATGTTCTTCTCCTGAAATGTATTTGTTTGACAATAATCAGAGAAAGTGCGTATACGTATAAATATGCCATGCAAACAAACGGGTGTGACTTCAATTTCTTGTCTGTCTGAGGACGTATTGGGAACGAGGTAGAATTAAAGAATTCTTATGAACGAGTCATGCAAGATACTAGAACTAGTAAAGTAATGTAAATGGATAAGTTAATTTCTGATGGATCTGGATATAATATATTTCAAAACTTTGTAAACACTAGATAACTTCATTTAGGCAGATATAGTATCTTGATATATTTGGCTATCATGCGTTTAAAATACGTTCCTAAAACTATGAAGACGTTAGGTGAGAAATATTGCTATTGTACGTTCGAAAAGTATTTGGTTGTATTTTGTAGTTCTCAAGTTACCCATGAACTTTCGTGGGCTAATTAACGTCTTGACTTAGCATATTTAGCCTAATTTTGCAATGATGTCAACGTGATTCAAATGTTATGCTGTCGTGATTCGCAGAGGTTGCGACAAGATTCGTTTTACAACAGATGTAACTATGAGAACATGAAAGCTCATAATCCTGATTATGCAACCTTATACAATCGTTATCTTTGGGACAAGAGCCCAAAAACAAGGTACTCGTGAACGAGAGTTGAATTTGCTCCGTGAACGATAGGATACGCTGTTCCCCACCAACAAAATACAGACATATGCTTCAGTGTCCTCAACGCAGATTGTAGAGAACAAGAGAAAAAATGAAATATACTTTGCCATAACAGAATACTGTTAAAGTATTGTTTATTAAGTTTATTAAGTTTCACAAATAACTTTTAAATGCCTTCTTTACCGTCAACGGACACTCAAATAAATACACAATACAATGCAATGCAATGTAATACAACGCATTACAATACAAACTAAATTAGAGTATTTGTGCATAGCATTTTCCCCTTTTGTTTGAAGGATATTCTAAGAATAATTCCAGCGTTCGTACACACCTGGAAATGTCAGGGTTTTGATTTAATTTTCCAAGTGCCTGAAATGTCAGAGAATTTTAAAATAAGGTCAAAAAGGGCCAAAGAGTCCGGGAATTTTGAAACTGTAGACATGTCATGGAAATGTCAGGGAAATTTGTATCAGTGTTGAAAAAATGATGTTCCAGAAAAATAAATTTTAGGACTATGACAGGATCTCAATGAAATCCAAAATGTAACATTTAGTTGATTCCACACGGGGCGTGTACATTGTCTAACATATATCTAAAAGGTTTACACTGTCTTGATTAATGAACTTCTTAGATCTAGTCGCGCTTCAGAAGTGGAAATCCTTCAATTATCAGAGGTTAATGTTTCTAAAACTGTATTGAAATAAACGTACGTCTTGTTTCCAAACCTACACCTTGCTCCTTTCTGTCGTATTAATAAAGCAAAAATAACATATCACGGTGGGATACGAACCACTCGCCTGGGATTTGGTTATTCACTAACACCATAGGCGTTCACCTATTCTGGATACAACTGACGAGTTGTATCTAAGTGGAGTCAAAAGCGAAGATCATTCTAAATTGACGCTCGGTATAAATATATGATACTTTTATCATCTCACACAGGTGAACGTTAGCCTCATGGCTAGCGTGTTTAGCTTCAACTCTCTAGGTTAGTCGATCGAAACCCGTTCATGGCGAACTTTTTGATTTGCTTGCTGTCAACTTATAATAAGTAGGGCAAAATCCAGAAAAAGTAGATCAAAAATACTCCAATGGAGTATAAAATTGTCACCAGGATTCCGAAATGAGACGAATGTTAACTCGTTAAATCTCGGTAGATAAAGTAGGTCAGAAAATCCGGATTAATCCGAACTGATTCGGGAATCTTCGTCATAAGAAGTAGATCAAAAATCCAGAGAAGTAGATCAAAAATACTCCAATGGAGTATAAAATTGTCACCAGGATTCCGAAATGAGCCGAATGTAAACTCGTTAAATCTCGGTAGATGAAGTAGGTCAGAAAATCCGGATTAATCCGAACAAGGTTCGGGAATCTTCGTAATAAGAAGTAGATTAAAAATACTCCCAATGGAGTATAAAATTGTCCCCAATATTCCGAAATACGACGAATCGAATCGGCAAACTTCGGTAAAATAATGAAGTGCATAAAAACCGAAATGATCCGATGAACGTTCGGATAAAATCGTGAACAGGTGTCAGGGGTTTCCCCTCATCTTTCCCCACATTGTTCTAAAAGCCTTATATGGATTTATCACGTAACATTCAAAATGACGTTCCTATATGGTTCTATGGGTTCGAACACGTGACCAAATATACCAAATAAAAATTTTACCTTGACCACTGGATGGGATTTCATAGAAAATATCCAAGAAAACCTATCCTCATGATCCTTAAATCACTTAAATTCGATCATTTTATTTTCACCCCTTGATGGAATTTTATGAAAGAAGTCATGAAAACACATCATCATGTAAGGGTCTTCACCTAAATTAGCTCGTTTTATCTTGAGCCTTCAATTGAATTTCTTGAAGAAATATTTTATGAAAAAATATCATCATGTTATGATTTGTATTTAAATAAGACCGTTTCATCTAAATACTTGGATAATATTTCATAAAAAATGCACTTTAAAATTTTTCAGAATTTGCCTTAATTTATCAATGTAATGAAAGTATAAGATTAACTCTCAAATAGCGTTCTATTTTAACCTTTTTATTGAAATCAATACAGGACTCGCTCTCTAAATATCCAATAAAAATTCAACCCTTGGATGTGATTTCGTTGGAAAAAAAATATGTCAAGTCCAGAATCAAATGATTTGTCCAGAACCTCTTAAGATCCTGTTATTAAGATTAATGCTGCATATGTCTTTGTTTGCTATGGCTGAAAGTCACGACAAACATAACAACAACATACACAAATATGATACCATGGCAACAGTAGTCTATGACATCACAGACAGATGATACAACAGATGGAATGATCCAGAATGATCCATCAGACACTGCTCCATGACATCATCAAAATCATGGCTGCCAGGATTGCCAATGGAAGCAAAATGAACAATGAAATGAAACAACAATTGAGAAGTAGCATCAGATACAATGTGTTGCTAGGGAAATCCAAGCAATGCTTCCATGCCAAGCTCTGTTATTGTATTTAGGAGAATAGAGGATCTGTGAGCAGGGCCATTATCCCGGTGGACCGTATAGGTCGATATTGCTCTTTGAGGACGTTGAAGTGTGTGGCTAGGGATATGCAGTGTTCACTGCAGACATCCGCTGATTGAGATTCTAGTGCGATATTCCTCTCAGATCTATTTTCACCGCTGTTAGATAATACATATAATTCAAACTGACAACATCAAGATTTGACCATATCAACAGTTTATTCATCAACGTGTTTATTTGATGTATAACAATAATTCATCATGTAAACCCTTAAGGTTGCCCTGCGTATCCATGACAACGGTTACCCTAGTAACCATAACTTTGTCAATACTAAGTCGGTTGTCCAAAAATTTGGATAGAATAAGGTCAGATATGTGTTGCTTATGTTGTAAAAGTTTCATGAAGAAATATGCAAGATAACAAAAGTTATAACAAAATTAGCAATACTTATTGAACGCCCTGTACAATACATTGTATGTACTATATATTGGTGGACTGTGAAATGCTACATCTCAAGATAACCAAAATGTCCCACACATGTATCGAAAACGGAATGAAACACTAATTTTACATATTTTATAAAACTGACATCATCTGGCTAAAGTACTCTGATACGTGTTTATTTCTGCGTAATATCAAACGCGCCTACGACCAAAAAAGTAAAACAGATATAATCCTTCAGGAATCGAACCCGCGACGTGCCGTCCCTGAAGGACTACTCTGCCAACAGACCAACTAACCAAGATTACGAAAGCAACGGGACAGTCAAGTCGCAAGCATTTAGGAACTTCAAAACGAATAAGCCCTTCTAATTCGAAAATTTTAACACTTTGGTCAATGTAGCAAATTTTATCGAGTCCCTTTAAACTTCATCGCTTAATTGGCTTCGGTACTTAATTTCCTGAATATTTCATTCCAGCTTGTATGAATGTCTTTTGGGTAATTGATCAAAGTTGTTCAGTGTTTGAACAAATGGATGAAGTAAAACAAATGCTTCTTGATGTCACAGATAAAGTTATTATTGGTCGTAACTCTGTAGTCATGACGCTGATGAAGTAAGTATATAGTTATGGTTAGCCGTAAATTGATGATCGCTGTCAAGGTGAGTATTGGAAAATAATTGGTCGCAATTTGCTAGTATTGACGCTGTTCAAGTGAATTTATGTTATAATTAGCCAGCCGTAAATTGGTAGGCATGACGCCGTTTAAGTGATAAAAGATGTATGATGGCTTTAACTTAGTAGAAACGTTGTTAAAGTGAGTATGTTGTTTATTTATAATAACTGGGACTTAGTAGCCATGACGCTACTAAAGTAAAGTAAGTATATATAGAGTTTCACAGATACTAGAATTCTGCACTACAAATTGCAAAATTCTTCATGAAAAATCAAAATTCTGCAAGCTAAAATGTGAAAATTCTGAAAAAATTCTACATTTTGTCGCGGCAACATATTTCGTAACTCACATTAGGTGTTCCTTACAAATTAGGGGAATTCTGCATTTTTCTGCTGCTGCGCGGATAATCCGAATTCTAGTATCTCTGTATTATAGCCGTTGCTTTCAGCTAATTGTAACTAAACACACATCGTATCAGCGTCACAACTACTATTATAGTCGTGTCGCTGTTAAAGTGAGTATACAATGAACAATACTTCAAAGTAATTATATAGTCGAACCTTATTTGTCTTGCCGTTGTAAAAAGTGAGTATAAAGTTTATAAAAGATGTGACTTATTAAAATGACGCTGCTAAAACGGGTATACGAGGGTATACCATAAAGTTCTCATAATATCTCTCTAAGTTTTTTTATTTTTCAATATATTCTAATGAAATTTTATAGAATCTGCAGTATAGAACACTGTACCAATCTATCAATATATATTTGGTATAAATGAAATATATATATATTTTACTATAACATTGCTTTTACTATAAACTAAATTAATCATGTGAATTGTGTGATGTCATAGGGTATGCTTACATGCTTCATTAGATGAGATACCGGATTCTGAGAGTCAAAGCTTAATGATCAGAAATGACCAAGTATTAAAGATGATACATAGACGCAGGGATCAAAACTAGTATTCATACTAATAAAAGGTTTAGTTTAGTTCGAAAAATCCTTTGCTCTTACTAAAGATGATCTAAAACAAATATGTTGCAAAGATATCAACAAAATTACATCCTATGTGTGGTCGATTAGCGTTACAATTATTTATTATGAGATCGCACAATTCACACAACCATAATAATAGTTCAAAACAGTAAAGTATACATGGTATTTAACAATTTGATGTGTTTCATAGCTTATTTGATAACTTATTATACTTTTAAACATGGTGAACTTGGGCCTATTCTTGCACAATTTTGTATTTGCCCCGGGTGCCTTGATTTCCGGTTACTAGGGCAACCATTTCTTAAATAATAGTTCTGTTATACCGAATATTTTTTTGATAGATTAATACAGCATTCTATTCTATACATTCAGAATATAATGAAAAATAAAAAATAGAGAGATATTATGAGAACTTTATGATATACCCTCGTATACGGGTTGGTCCAAACAGAATTGGTTCACCATGAACCCATAACGTCTACTCAGTCCCTTATTAAGAATAGAATTGTTGAGAAGTGGAATTCATTGCCTCAACAGCATATCAATGATGCTTTTGAACAGTTAAGGTCAACTCTGGAGGGATATAATGATCAAAATGGTGGACATATTGAATGCCTGTTTATATAAATAAAGTTGACAAAAATGTTTTTTGCGAGTTTCAGAAAACCCGTTTTGAAACGAAATGATAAGTTTATTCCATATCCACTGATACATGATTTGGCATGTTTCCATTAAGAAAATCAATATTTATTTTTGAAATACAAGTGTCCCATTTTTGGACCACCCTGTAGTTATAATCATAATTTCTCATTTAAAATAAGTACAAACCAAATAGGAAGTTGATTTGGTTATATTCATTTAGGTGTAATGAATATCCACCTTACAGCTTTTTATGTAAAAGATTTGTACGATTGCTAATCTTGGTTATATTTATTTAGGTTCGATAGAGAGCCGTATTACAACTTTTATGCAAGGGATACAACGAGTAATGCAGAGACGATAAGACTTTTGAATGACATACCAATTGGTCAAACTGAAATATGTGAAACGAGGACATCCCGAGCCCTCTCTGAGTTGAAAGAAAGGTAAATAAAAGGGTAAAATACCAGGAGGTTTTAGATGAAGGGTCTATCCATTGAAATATATGTGAAATTCTCTAGGGTTCCAGGGTTCGAGATACCCATAATCCGAGGGATAAAGCCTGTATCTCAAGCCGTCCGATCTAAGTAATATGTGACGCGTCATAGTGGCGGGCCAATAGAGAGGTTAAGCTACACGTATTTAACAAAACTTGAACGTGAACTTCAATTCGCGCGCATAAAAATGACATCAGATTTGTTTATTTCCTGTGGGCCAGCGTAAAGTTTACGTTTTTTTTACATGAGATTATCATATTCGTGCAATTTACAGACGCGTATTCAACAAAGCATGAACGTGTACTTCTATGCGCGCGCAGGAAAATGACGTCGGATTAGTCTACTTTCTACAGGTAAGCGTGAAAGTTACAGGTTTATACGTGTGGATGAGTGATTACACATCGCTAATTACGTGATTGATTTTAGCCATGTCCTAGGATGGCCCGGAGCCCATATTTGATACAGACAATCTTGCTTGTTATATTGGTAAACCCCAATCCTTAATTGGAAAAATGAATACATTTTAATGGGTAAATGACAACTTCAAATGTGATCGTTTTGTTTCATTCCGTACAATATGAATAGACAGGGCCGATTTGATACCCGGGGCTTAGTACAATATGTATACTGATTTATATTTGATTTGCAAACGAGGCATATTCTTTGTATTACGTCCGCCCTTGATATGAGCAAAAAAGTGATACTGGGGGAAAGGAGCACGTAGGTTATCGCAAACAATTTCAAACGATTCTAACTTGAATTATGAATATTTTCTGATCATGAACATGGGTGTATCTTTTAGATCCATTCATTATCTTCAAGAAAAGTATATATAATGATAATTTAGTTAATCAGACCTAAGTGATATTAGAGGGGCAATGGACCAATCAACATACTTTTTCAAAAATGTTGACCTAATTTTCACCAAAAATGCAACCTATTATTATATTGTTGAATGTATAATTAGAATGTGCTTTGAGACATGTTCGATTTCCTAAAAGGAAAATTTAATTGCTCAAGGGACTTTAAAGATATTCAATTTGGATGACAAAAATGAACTGAAACCAATGGATAGCATGAGATTTTTCAATGGAGAAATAACATCGGGAACACTTAATTTAATGCAATAAAGTTTTACATTGTTTAACAGCGTTAAACATTGTAAAAAATGATTGCATGGGTTAATTGCTAGTTAAATATCTCCGAGTTTGTTTGAATTTATTATTACTGTGCATGATTTTCTTTGGGATAATGAATTGATCTAAAAGATAAACTTGTCTTCATTGTCAGAAAATGGTCATAATCCAAGATATAACCTTCTGAAATTGTTTGCGATAACCCACCTGCTCCTTTAATTGTGGATGAATATGACATAAAGCAAAAATAAAAAACAAATGTTTTGAAACGACTAGACTCGAACCCAGGCCTAGAGGACACGAGTCCGAAGTGCTATCCATTACACCATAATGACACGACCTAGATTGGTATGACTTGGGCAGATATATTCCATTGGCCTCGGGATAATCCAAATATCCTGAACCTCATATAGGATAATATCTATATACACATCTCCCAAAAGGCCCGAATGAACAAAGGGGAGATATATTTTATATTCAAAGGGATAATATTTCCTGCATCAAAACGCTAATTACGCTGTGGCATCCTTGTCGGCTGCTCGCGTATGTCTATGGTGTTTAAACTGCTTCTTTATTCGGTACATTAAATATTCCATAAATACCAAATAAAACAAACAATTTACCAAATCTATCGAATGTTTTTTTGTTTTATCGAATGTAATAATCTATAAATTTATATTCGCAAAATAGTTTCACTTGTTCTTTGTGTTGGCATTCACATTTGATATTTATACACAGTGTACATGTATTTGTGTGATGCAGCGAATCTATTTGTCTTAACGCACGTATAATTCAATTAATTATTTGTACATTCGGTATTTAAATTATTTATATTCGGTAAATACCGAATGCCACATTCGATAAATTTCGTTATTTTTCGATACTTTACGAGACTTTCAGTCAAGTGATATATTTGAACAATGTAGAATAGCTGCGCGGCAATTTTGCAAATCTCGAGGTCACGTGACAAAATATCGAACAACAACGAAAGTTATCGAATATTACTTTATTGCATTCGGTAAATAGCAAATTAGCTTACGGTAAAATGCATTAACTATGTCATAGAAAAATTAACCATTCGGTAAATATAGGCAAACTTATTTTGGTAGGGTTCAAAATTGAAATTCAATATTGTGCATATTATGTGTAATATAATGCACATAGTATTAAGTGATTGGCTATTTTTAAAACTTAATTTGCTGTAACAAACATATAAACGTTTTTACCGAATGGAAAATAATTTAGCGAAAATCAATATTTCATATATCGAATAATATATTGAATTTAATGAATAAAGAAACAAAAATAATGCCATACGTGTCAATCGCGCCGGTGTAAAAGGGTAGGAGGTTCTATCAAATCATGGTCCTACTCTCCATTGATTTATATGGTGACCTAAATACAGCTCTTTCCCTCATTATCTTATGCGCAATCAGGGCCAGTAAGGGCCGTTAAGAAAGGGGACCATAATCCCTCGGGGACCATAATTTCTTTCACAGCTGCTTGTTGCTAGTGCACCACAGAAGATTAATTGCAATAAACCATGATGTCTTTCAAAATAATTATGTGTGTGTTAGTACACTTGAATGAGCTTATTGTTTTTGAAAACAGATGAGCACTGCAGGTCTTAAAACATCACGCAATTCACTAGCACCGCGGGCATACAAAAATACAGCCTCAGTGTCAGTGAGTCCAAATCTGATTGATATCGTTTTCAAAGTATGGATAATTCTAGTCACTTTCACTTAACCCAAGCACTCGATATCTACTGTCTAAAGTTTGTCTCAGCTCAGTTTGAACAAGGGAAAATTCAATACCCGGTGATTTCTGCGGGAAGTGGCGTTTCGTTCAGTGGATGAGCTGCGCGCGCACGCATAAATGTGAATGGTGACTCCACAAAACAACCGGGATCAGAACAAGTTTTCCAGTTATGCCTTGGTCACACAGGCCCGTAGCCAGGATTTCCCAAGGGGGGAGTCAGTTTTCAAAAATTTCCAGGGGGGTTCACATTTGACAATTTTGGCCCAAATATGGCTAAAATCACTTGAGAAGAGCTCAAAATGGTGAAAAACTGCATGATTTTGAAAGAATCTTTGGCCAGGGGTTTTCACTACGTGGCGCCCGGAAGATTGAGTATTTTTGAGTATTTTTCGGAGCAAGTATGACCCGGTGTGAAAGAAATGATGGTCCCCCAGGGATTATGGTCCCCATTGTTAACGGCCCTTACTGGCCCCGATTGCGTATAAGGTAACGAGGGAAAGCGTTGTATTTAGGTCACCATATAAATCAATGGAAAGTAGGACCATAATTTGATAGGACCTCCTACCCTTTTACACCGGACATTGTGCATGTTCCTATTTGAAACGAAACGATTTGCCGCTCGTCATTGTACTACAGCTAACTCTATGCAATTTAAAAGGTAAAAGTATTATCGCATCATTGAAACGGGTTGCGGATCATTCGGAAACTCTCGGCATGTTTACCTGCACATGGCTATATATAAATCTGTGACTTGGTTTTGCAAATAAATCGGTTTATTGTTCAACATAATCAAGTTCATTAAAACTGCTCATATTTGAATATCAAAGTTATGACATGGTATATAGCTCCTCACCTAAGTCTTATTATTATTTCAGATTTTTCCTAAGTCGCTATATGCGTAGTCGGTATGGTGTACGAAAACTACCACTTTCTAAAGATATAGTATTTATTGTCTCAGACGGCAGGACGTTCCCGTATGGTGGCAGATGGCGTGAGTATTTTAAAATTCCTTAGTTGACGTATGCATCTTTTAAAAAAAATTGACTACTTTTCCTTTTTTGTTTGTAACTATCTTTTTGACTCATGATGAAATCCTTTCTAATACTTGAATAAATCATTATAACCACTTTTATCAAAAGTAAAACTCTTTCTTTCTTTATTGTATTGTATATTTATTGCCTCATTTATATGAGAGAATACATTTTGGTATAATATAGTTTACATTTAAGATACAATATAAAAGGATAAGATGAATCTTAATGTAAAATGTTTAATTGTTTCAGTTTCGCAAAGGTCACACAATGTGCATCTTTTTGAACCATTTAAGTTGTTCGTGTTTGATATATGGGAACTACATAGCAAATGCATCATGATTGTAAACTGGCTTCAATTTTTCGGATGTTTCTGACATATCAACCACCATATACAAGGTTTTAAATCTGTCATAATAAGTAAATGTCCCGTCACCAACAGAAGTTGTAACATACTGTTATGGTTTCCAAATATCGGCGTCTGTAACAAATTCTTACAACTTTCATTAACTTGGTTGGTACTGACTGATCGATGACTTTAAATATTTTCTGTCACATATATGATGACATGTATTGACTTTCAACACAGTTCTACTTGTAACTGTTACCAAGGCAACAAATAGTTGATATTCAATGTGAAAAGGGGTCTTTTTCAACTTGCTTCTAATTCACCATTTTTCAAATTTAGTTCCTGGATTGTATTAATGGAACTTGGATGATGGGGGAAGAAGTATTCGACATTGTTTCATTTTAGTTTGCATTAATTATTGTGTGGAATAGTTGGTGTTTGTTTTTTATGACTGGTGTACACTTAGATGTTTTCTTTTTCGTGTTTGGTTCTGTAACAGTTTTTGTCCTTCCCCTTTAGCACTTGTATGTACATAGTTGTTCTTAGAAGTTCGAATCTGACTTTAAATGAGAATTGGCCTTCAGTGACCTTTGAAAGATAAAAAAAGTTGAATTTTAAAATTGATTTTTTATCCAAACTTAAGTAAACATTATTCCAAAATGCCTGAGTCAGGAACAACATTTGACAATTGTTATACCTTTGTAAATTACATGTTTCCACTTTTTAATACAAGAATACAATATTTTTCAATTCTTCGAAAGGGAAATTATTTTCTCATATTGTTTCTTATTCTAGCTGCGATCTATAAGTCTTGGGAGATAGCAGACACAGGGGCGGATATATATTCGATAAAATTGGACAACAGGTACGTTTTCATCAATTAACAAATTGGTACATCAATTTGAATTAAGAAAACAAGTAAAATATTAACATCGCAATATTCTGTCCATAGATGGGGCAAAGAGGGAGAAACTGAGATGTATAATTTCGTGGGAGGCCAAACTGAACGTGTGTTCCATATTAACGACACGGATCTAGCAGAAAAAGTCTCTCTCTTGATAAACGATTATACTCCTTGCCCATATACAACAACTCCTGAACCTACAACCACACCAACTCCTACAACTACCACTGAACCACTAACCGAAATTGTCACTGGTGGTACTCCTATTACAGATGGTAAGAAATGTCCATATTAGTATCAAATATTAAATGATAATACTCAAAAACATTTACCCTTTGCATTCCTTTTACTTCACTTCTTAATTTAGAGAGTTTCGTCTTCTGTAGTTTAACTAGACTCTGCACGGAGGGTAAAAAATATTGTTAGTCTCTATTTCAGGAATTACTCTCAAATTCTCAATTCTTATTATTATCACGAATAGGCTCCAATCCCAAGGAAACCACGTATCAACTTGGGCGAAAAGAGCCCTTACTTTACAAAGAAGAAAATTGTCCGTCACCCCGCCCCATCATTTGGTCAATATTTAGGTCCTCGAAAAAGTTCGAGGCACTGCCCACATTTTAAATTGAGTTTTGATTGTAGCACCAACTACGACTACCACAGTACAGACTACTACCACATTACCAACTACTACAACAATACCACAATGTGAACGTGATTTTAATCTGGTTCTTATCTTCGACACTACACAAAGTTTGGCAGATGGCACTATAAGGAGAACATTTAAAACTAAAGGTTTCGAGCATCGAAAAACTGTTGCAATATCACAACTAGTGAAGGTTAAGGAATTTACAACAGAACTGCTTGATGATTTAAATATTAGTAAGTTATTCGTAATTTTTGTTTCAAGTTATTGGTGAGGAATTACATCGAAACTTTGCACAACGTTATATCATAAACAGTCTGCACTATAAGCAAAAATACACTATAAGCAAAAATACACTAAAAGCAATTAAGCAAAAAGGGCTATTCATTTTTGATGAATAAATCGATAAAACATATTTTATGAGAAACGCAAATATATTATTTAAGAAATATAGACCGAAGAGCAGATGTAATATTAACGAATACATACCACAGGGCTGGGCACAATTGTTTAATGTACCTCGAACGACCGAAGGCAGAGGAAATCGAAACCCTTTGTCTATATTCCGATGGACAGCTCACCAAAATATTGCAAAGTCGTCTATTTCCATGTTCATTTTCACTCTTCATTTCTTACGTATGGTTCAGCGTTTGGCTGTTCCGATATGTTCATGATTACGACATGACCCCATCAAAAGTTTTTTATTGACATTTTGGCCTTTTTTGTTTGTTTCGCGCATATCTATTACATTTGATAATTATTGAAATTAATTCTTTTATTGTCAAGAAACAAAAAACTTACGGCAGATATCCATAATTAAGAAATGAGGAATGCTATATAAATGAATCGTAATTAGTGCCTTTCGACACCCCGTTGATCTCGGTAAATCCCATAAATTGTTTTGTAAGGTATGAATGATTATTTTGATACAAGTCTCTTGGGTGCTCGTCAAAATGTAACAACTCTCTCTCTCTCTCTTCCTGGAGGCTTTCGTTTGATAAAATACTAGTCAGTAGTAAGAAAATATATAATTAATGCTTGACTTGGTATTATTCAAATATAATTTTTGTCCATGATTGGGTCCATTCTAGTAACAACCGAGCAACGAATTGTTAGTGAAATTGGAAAATCGGTGGAGGGGGAATTATATCTAGAGTATGGATAGGGTTATCATCCTAAATACGTTACCGAATTTTGCACAGATATTTAGAAATGTGCAAAAATTCAATTGTATTCATTAAGTAGTTCTTGAAAAGAAAGAAATCTCAAATTCGTAAAGATAACGCGATTCACGATAAACTGTACTTTATCTTTAAGAATAATAAGACACTCAATAGAGATTGATTTTCATGAATGAACCATGACATACCGGAATAGCCTGACTGCAGTAAAGCCAGATACCGTTTTCACAAATGGCGGACATAACCGTCGCTTCAACTGTTTAATCACTTGGTCCTCATTTCATGGGATTTTATCGTCGCTAATTCTGTGCATGCATTAAGCTCTTGTGATAATGTATCATATGAAATCCCATTGTCGATCAAATCGGGTCGTGAATCGCCACAACATAGTGTCTTCGATATCGTCAATGACAACGGAATCTGAATTTCGGTGATTAAGAAAGACAACGGCATATGGTTATTACAGTGTCCGTTGTCCCGTATCTCATTTTGATCGGTTAAATTAAAGACTTTATTTCAATGGTAGAACATTATTAATTGTACAATGAGTATTAAACCACTTTGATTGATTGTTGTTCCAAAGGAATTTAGTCTAGGTGCTCTATTAAATATACAGTTCATGAAAATCTAATTTAAGTGACGGTAATGTCCGCCATTTGTGACAACGGTATCTGACTTTACCGTTGTCAGGCCAGATACCGTTGTCACAAATGGCGGACATAACCGTCGCTTCAACTGTTTAATCACTTGGTCCTCATTTCATGGGATTTTATCGTCGCTAATTCTGTGCATGCATTAAGCTCTTGTGATAATGTATCATATGAAATCCCATTTTCGATCAAATTAGGTCGTGAATCGCCACAATATAGTGTCTTCGATATCGTCAATGACAACGGAATCTGAATTTCTATGATTAAGAAAGACAACGGCATATGGTTATTACAGTGTCCGTTGTCCCGTATCTCATTTTGATCGGTTAAATTAAAGACTTTATTTCAATGGTAGAACATTATTAATTGTACAATGAGTATTAAACCACTTTGATTGATTGATGTTCCAAAGGAATTTAGTCTAGGTGCTCTATTAAACATACAGTTCATGAAAATCTAACAGAAGTGACGGTTATGTCCGCCATTTGTGACAACGGTATCTGACTTTACCGTTGTCAGGCTATTCCAGGGTGCATGATATAAAAATGAAATACGATTTGCTAAATGACTTTCCATGAAACAGATCAATAGTGATAATATTCTGCAACGTCAAGCATTAACTTAAGTCAAGTATCTATTCTCTAACTATATCAGAAGTACTCGAAGGCAAAAACCGCTTTTACAAACTGGCTTCTTACGTACTACAGAAGCCGGCTTTTAAAAGCCGGCTTCTGAAGGACAACAGAAGCCGGCTTCTGGAGTCACCAAGAAGCCGGCTTTTACAAACTGGCTTCTTACGTATTACAGAAGCCGGCTTCTACAGTCAACAAAAAGCCGGCTTTTAAAAACCGGCTTCTGAAGGACAACAGAAGCCGGCTTCTGGAGTCACCAAGAAGCCGGCTTTTAAAACTGGCTTCTTACTTACTGACGTACTGCGGAAGATGGCTTTTGAATATAGTTTGTATTGTCATATTTTTGCAAAACTATATGGGTAAATTGAATTCTAAGCATGGATATCGATGAATTTGATCACGTTCATCAATTCCAAAAATATTATGCATTGTATTTCTGTTTAATAAAAACGCACCGCTCATTTTTCAAAACTGGCTCCAATTTGGAGCCAGTTTTCAAATCAGCTCGCACCATTAAACACAAGCTATTAACGGACAATCTAGCCACTGGGAATCACGAGATACTGTCTCCCGATCATTTTGATGTGGATTATGCATCTTATTCTCGTATAATCTGCATGAAAATAAGGAAAAACTGAAAAATATGTAAAATTATAACATAATTCAAGATTTTTTGCAAAAATTCATTTAAAGTCAAAACTATGAGAGAAAATTGAAGTCTAGGTAAAAATATCGATGAATTAGATCATGTTCACTAAATCAGAACAGATTATGCACTGCATTTCCGTTTTATAAAAACGCACTGCTCATTTTTCAAAACTGGCTCCAACTTGGAGCCAGTTTACAAATCAGCTCGCTCCATCTTACACAAGCTATGTAGGGACAATCTAGCAACTGGGATTCACGGGATACTGTCTCACGATCATTTCTATGTGTATTATGCATCTTATTCTCGTATAATTTGCATGAAAATGAGAAAAAACTGAAAAATACGTAAAATTGTAACTTATTTCAAGATTTTTTGCAAAAAGTCATTTCAAGCCAAAACTATGAGAGAAAATTTATTCCTTAGTAAAAATATCGATGAATTAGATCACGTTCACTAAATCAGAATAGATTATGCATTGCATTTCCGTTAAATAAAAACGCACCGCTCATTTTTCAAAACTGGCTCCAACTTGGAGCCAGTTTACAAATCAGCTCGCTCCATCTTACACAAGCTATGTAGGGGCAATCTAGCAACTGGGAATCACGGGATACTGTCTTACAATTATTTTTATGTGAATTATGCATCTTATTCTCGTATAATTGGCCTGAAAATGATAAAAAACTGAAAAATACGTTAAATTGTAACTTATTTCAAGATTTTTGCAATAAGTCATTTCAAGCCAAAACTATGAGAGAAAATTCATTTCTAAGTAAAAATATCGATGAATTAGATCACGATCACTAAATCAGAATAGATAATGCATTGCATTTCCGTTTAATAAAAACGCACCGCTCATTTTTCAAAACTGGCTCCAACTTGGAGCCAGTTTACAAATCAGCTCGCTCCATCTTACACAAGCTATGTAGGGACAATCTAGCAACTGAGAATCACGGGGTACTGTCTCACGATCATTTCTATGTGCATTATGCATCTTATTCTCGTATAATTTGCATGAAAATGAGAAAAAACTGAAAAATACGTAAAATTGTAACTTATTTCAAGATTTTTTGCAAAAATTCATTTCAAGCCAAAACTATGAGAGGAAATTTATTTCTAAGTAAAAATATCGATGAATTAGATCACGTTCACTAAATCAGAACAGATAATGCATTGCATTTCCGTTTAATAAAAACGCACCGCTCGTTTTTCAAAACTGGCTCCAACTTGGAGCCAGTTTACAAATCAGCTCGCTCCATCTTACACAAGCTATGTAGGGACAATCTAGCAACTGAGAATCACGGGGTACTGTCTCACGATCATTTCTATGTGCATTATGCATCTTATTCTCGTATAATTTGCATGAAAATGAGAAAAAACTGAAAAATACGTAAAATTGTAACTTATTTCAAGATTTTTTGCAAAAATTCATTTCAAGCCAAAACTATGAGAGAAAATTTATTTCTAAGTAAAAATATCGATGAATTAGATCACGTTCACTAAATCAGAACAGATTATGCATTGCATTTCCGTAAAATAAAACTGCACCGCTCATTTTTCAAAACTGGCTCCAATTTGGAGCCAGTTTACAAATCAGCTCGCTCCATCTTACACAAGCTATGTAGGGGCAATCTAGCAAATGGGAATCACGAGATACTGTCTAACGATTATTTTTATGTGAATTATGCATCTTATTCTCGTATAATTGGCTTGAAAATGAGAAAAAACTTTAAAATACGTTAAATTGTAACTTATTTCAAGATTTTTTGCAAGAAGTCATTTCAAGTCAAAACTATAAGAGAAAATTGAAGTCTGAGTAAAAATATCGATGAATTAGATCACGTTCACTAAATCAGAATAGATTATGCATTGCATTTCCGTTTAATAAAAACGCACCGCTCATTTTTCAAAACTGGCTCCAACTTGGAGCCAGTTTACAAATCAGCTCGCTCCATCTTACACAAGCTATGTAGGGACAATCTAGCAACTGGGAATCACGAAATACTGTCTCACGATCATTTCTATGTGCATTATGCATCTTATTCTCGTATAATTTGCATGAAAATGAGAAAAAAACTGAAAATACATAAAATTGTAACTTATTTCAAGATTTTTGCAAAAAGTCATTTCAAGTCAAAACTATAAGAGAAAATTGAAGTCTGAGTAAAAATATCGATGAATTAGATCACGTTCACTAAATCAGAACAGATTATGCATTGCATTTTCGTTTAATAAAAATGCACCGCTCATTTTTCAAAACTGGCTCCAACTTGGAGCCAGTTTACAAATCAGCTCGCTCCATCTTACACAAGCTATGTAGGGACAATCTAGCAACTGGGAATCACGGGATACTGTCTCACGATCATTTCTATGTGCATTGTGCATCTTATTCTCGTATAATTACTAATTACCTATAAATTTTCTCTCATAGTTTTGGCTTGAAATGACTTTTTGCAAAAAATCTTGAAATAAGTTACGGTTTTACGTATTTTTCATTTTTTTCTAATTTTCATGCAAATTATACGAGAATATGATGCATAATGCACATAGAAATGATCGTGAGACAGTATTTCGTGATTCCCAGTTGCTAGATTGTCCCTACATAGCTTGTGTAAGATGGAGCGAGCTGATTTGTAAACTGGCTCCAAGTTGGAGCCAGTTTTGAAAAATGAGCGGTGCGTTTTTATTAAACGGAAATGCAATGCATAATCTATTCTGATTTAGTGAACTTGATCTAATTCATCGATATTTTTACTTAGAAATGAATTTTCTCTCACAGTTTTGGCTTGAAATGACTTTTTGCAAAAAATCTTGAAATAAGTTACAATTTAACGTATTTTTCAGTTTTTTTTATCATTTTCAGGCCAATTATACGAGAATAAGATGCATAATTCACTTAAAAATAATCGTTAGACAGTATCCCGTGATTCCCAGTTGCTAGATTGCCCCTACATAGCTTGTGTAAGATGGAGCGAGCTGATTTGTAAACTGGCTCCAAGTTGGAGCCAGTTTTGAAAAATGAGCGGTGCGTTTTTATTTAACGGAAATGCAATGCATAATCTGTTCTGATTTAGTGAACGTGATCTAATTCATCGATATTTTTACTTAGAAATAAATTTTCTCTCTTAGTTTTGGCTTGAAATGAATTTTTGCAAAAAATCTTGAAATAAGTTACAATTTTACGTATTTTTCAGTTTTTTCTCATTTTCATGCAAATTATACGAGAATAAGATGCATAATGCACATAGAAATGATCGTGAGACAGTATCCCGTGATTCCAAGTTGTTAGATTGTCCCTACATAGCTTGTGTAAGATGGAGCGAGCTGATTTGTAAACTGGCTCCAAGTTGGAGCCAGTTTTGAAAAATGAGCGGTGCGTTTTTATTAAACGGAAATGCAATGCATAATCTGTTCTGATTTAGAAAACGTGATCTAATTCATCGATTTTTTTACTCAGACTTCAATTTTCTCATATAGTTTTGACTTGAAATGACTTTTTGCAAAAAATCTTGAAATAAGTTACAATTTAACGTATTTTTCAGTTTTTTCTCATTTTCAGGCCAATTATACAAGAATAAGATGCATAATTCACATAAAAATAATTGTTAGACAGTATCTCGTGATTCCCAGTTGCTAGATTGCCCCTACATAGCTTGTGTAAGATGCAGCGAGCTGATTTGTAAACTGGCTCCAAGTTGGAGCCAGTTTTGAAGAATGAGCGGTGCGTTTTTATTTAACGGAAATGCAATGCATAATCTGTTCTGATATAGTGAACGTGATCTAATTCATCGATATTTTTACTAAGAAATAAGTTTTCTCTCATAGTTTTGGCTTGAAATGACTTTTTCCCAAAAATCTTGAAATATGTAATAATTTTACGTATTTTTCAGTTTTTTCTCATTTTCATGCAAATTATACGAGAATAAGATGCATAATGCACATAACAATTATCATGAAACAGTATCCCGTGATTCCCAGTTGCTAGATTGCCCCTACATAGCTTGTGTAAGATGAAGCGAGCTGATTTGCAAACTGGCTCCAAGTTGGAGCCAGTTTTGTAAAATGAGCGATGCGTTTTTATCAAACAGAAATGCAATGCATAATCTACTCTTATTTAACGAACATGATTTAATTCATCGATATTTTTACTTAGAATTAAATTTCCCCAATAGTTTTGGTTTGAAATTACTTTTTGCAAAAAATCTTGCAATATGTTACAATTTTTTTCTCATTTCCATGCTAATTATACGAGAATAAGATGTATAATGCACAACAAAATGATTGAGAGAGAGAATCTGGCTTTTAAAACTGGCTTCTTGGTAACAGCAGAAGCCGGCTTCTGTAAGTCATTCGAAGCCGGTTTTTAAAAGCCGGCTTCTTGGTGACGCCAGAAGCCGGCTTCTGATGTACTGTAGAAGCCGGCTTTAAAAGCCGGCTTTGAAAGCCGGCTTTGTATATTTGCCTTCGACTCTTTCTCAACTATATCACTGATTTTTATTCGAAGTACATCTTGAAAAATGAATGTTAAAGACGAAAACAAGTTATCACGTGATATTGAAGAAATATTTCACTCTATTGAGGTGAATACCTGTACATCTTTCACAAGTGATATTCCACGAAGCCCGGAGGGCAAGTGGAATATCACCTTGTGAAAGTGCTACAGGTATTCAGCGAAAATAGAGTGAAATATTTGTTTTATTTTATCACTGTCTAGCTAAACATCCCTAATATTATTAAGTCATTAAGTCTTCAGATTTTTTTACGAATCTACTCGGTTCGTCTGCCATTTTGACTTACACTAAACTAAATTATTTACACTGAACGAAAACAAATTCTTTGAATATTCCCGGGAGCGTGGGATATCGCTGGATACCTCACGGTTGTCTTATCTGATTAGCATTGCCATTGAATATCGCCAGATATCCCACGACATGTGACCCGGTTTTGACCAATCATACTGTCGCTAGCTAGATAGTGATATAATGATGTTGAATATTCAATGACGCATTCCATTGATTTCAATGGAATATCGCTACATCTGCTATCTTTGAAAGTATGTAAGTTCAGTTGTAGAAAAGCTTTTACATTGATCCTTGTTTTATTTGAAAAATAGTAGATTATTCGTTGAGAGAGCGTGGCACCAACATATTTTATTTCGAAAGAAAATTTCTTTTTCAAAAGCTAAAAAACTAGGTCATGTTGACCTCGATTTGACATACTATTTCTGAAAAATGAATACCTGCCTGAAAAGGTAATAAGGTTACAGAAATATTAATTTTATTATATAATAGTTGGGAAAATACGTTCGATCAGGAATTAACTACATACGTATACTTTTTCCATGAATAAAGATGGGGAGTAAGTATATTTTTCGAATTTAATCACACTTTTGCTTTCTATTTATGTACAGACATTGATGCTACACGCGTAGCTATTTTGACATTTGATGAAGAAGTCCGTGTGATACAACAATTTAAAGACACTATAAGTCTCGAGAAGACAAAAGATGCTATCATTAATAAGGCACAGGACTGGACTGGGGCTGGAACAAGGACAGATAAAGCATTGGCGAAAGTGTATGAAGAGTACGATAAGTTTTCGCTATTTTTAACCACATTATTTTGTATTTTCAAAGTCAATGCTTTTTATACAAATGACATGAGTTTCGTTCCCAAGCTGAATTTTCCCTTCTGTCAATTCTTCCTTTTGGATTGTTAAAGCCAAAGGGCCCAATCAAAATTTTGAAAAAAGATGAATATGACTCCCGGTCATTTTAGCAGTAAGGTTTTAGTTTTAGTTAGTTTTAAGCCTATCGCAAATATACATGTTACACTCTACACTATAGTGTTTTTGAATGATTTGATGTACAATACGGCATTTATTGAGCTAGAGAAATTCTGTATTGACAATACAGATTATTGAGATCACAATATATGCCGTATTGCACCACAAAACATTCTATAATTTTTATTTATTTATAGTGTGAAATTACGAATTAGGTCAATTTATTTTACTTAGGAAATAATACCTAGGCTGGGAAATATTCCGACCTACTCTAAAACCATTAATGCAATGTAGACACATTTATTTCATGAATGAATTACAATCTACATGTATTAAGCATATTCATGAGAGAAATGACTGGGTGAAGCCTGGGTTCAATCCCAGCTTGCGGCGACAGGAGCCAGCTCATGCTAACTAGTACACCATAGAAGTTGATTACTAGAGTGATATACTAACTCGATAAAAGGCCTGTGCTGGCTTGAACTGTCTATGGTTCTAGCCAGGATAAAGATATACCAGCTCCTGTCAGATTAATACGGGGAGCTGTTTCTACCTTAGGATATCAGGTTACATTATCCTATCTACCACACGTATATGCCCTATGGTGTCTGTGTGAGATATGTAACTCAAATGAAAATGAAAACTAAACACAGGGCAAGATGAACAAACAATTAATCTGTATTGACTAGAAACAACATTTTTTGTATTGTTACAAAAAATGTTCTGTATTATGATTAGAAAATTCTTTCTAAGAAAAATTTTCTATGACTAGAAAATGTAATTTTATATTTTAAATGTTTTAACTTTAACTAGAACAAGGGTCATTTTTAACTTTCTAAACTTGTTGCATGATCCACACCCCATCACATGAAGAATTAATTATTTCAATAAACATTCAAGTTTTGAATGTTATAGTTATTGAAAACCTTGTGTTAGGGTTGTTGCAAATTACCCGACACCGACTTGGTTACTGTAAATCGATACTATATCGATACTTAACAGGGCTGTTGGGTTTGAGCTAAATATAAAATGAGAAGATTAATTACATCTGAAGAAACATATTTTGCTTCTTAATAACAAATTGTACAACAAGTTATGTAGGCCTATTAAAGAAAACTCTAAATCGTCATTGTGTTTTTAGTACATTAAAAGTGGAAAATGGATGGAGACCAGAAATTCCAACATTGGTTTTCTTAGCTACGGACGGCGCCATTGTACCCTGTTGTGAAAGTAAATGTTGCAAAGACTGGAAAAATCCACCTGATTTATGTGCTGCGAGAGCTGCCGATTGTTTAACAAAATTAGATGCAATTGAAGTAAGTCCTTAAATGTTTAAATCATGCGGTACAAATCTCTTCTTAGCTTTTACTCAACACGTTTAATAACAATTTAAGGGTTTCAACTACAAAGTTAGTGAATTTATCTCTTAAACACAGCACGATTTAAAAGATGAAACAAATATAAAGCCATGGCTTGTACCGTGAACCGTGCACGTCGATCGACAGTTTGAAACGTTAAATCGATAATCAATTTATTTAGCATAACAACTTTTTCAACACAAAAATAAGCAATACGCTGTTGAATAAGATAAGTTAGCATGGAGCCAGTTTAGTACTTCAACATGAAGGAGTCTGTTAGCTTGATTGAACCATTATTTGTATATGTGGAATTAATATTTTAGTTACTTCTGTACAAGTGTACAACTGACTAGAATTATGCATGAGCAATTTGCAAATAATTGAATAGCTTAGCCAATTCATCATCAAAAAGAGCCATTTGGGGTAAATGACTGGTTCCCCTAAAATATTATACATTTGTTTATTATGGCTCTTCGCGAGCGAGGCAAGCCTGAGAAATGACTTAAGAACATCGTATCATTCGTACCAACGATTGGTTCACCCCCACTGTAAGGGTTAAGTGCTAGACATATTATGCATCCATATATTTTCTTATAGAGGGCGAAAAATGTTGCGAACGACATAAAGGAAAAAGGGTCAGATTTCATTATTCTGGCATTAACACAACCCAAAAAGCCATCAAAAGAAAGCAATGGTAAGTGCAATGGTGTCTTATATAAACTTCAATAACAAGGCAGGGCAATTATGAACTACATTCATTTTATTATGTCACCACCAAAAAGTGGTGACATATTGTTATGGTCTTCATTTTTGGCGGTTGGTGGTTGGCGATCGGCGTCTGTAACTATTTCTTACAACTTCCAATAAGTTGACAAATACTGTTTAGACTGACTTCAATTCTTTTCAAAATCATCTACAAGTTTTCAAAAATTCAAATCGGACACTAGAATTAAGATTTGACCTTCGATGACCTTTTCAAGGTCAAAAAGGTTAAAAAGTTTTTTAAACTTTCTTCAAATTGACCATTTTTCAAAATCATCTACAAATTTTCAAAAGTTCAAATCTGAATATAGATTTGACCTTCATTGACATTTTCAAGGTCAAAAAAGATTTGACCTTCAATGAACTTCTCAAGGTCAAAAGGTCTTTTTTCACCTTGCTTCAAATTGATCAATTTTTTTCAAAATCATCTTCAAGTTCTCAGAAGTTCAAATCTGACTTTAGATTTGAGATTTCACCTTCAATGACATTCTCAGGGTCAAGAAACTTGTTTCAAATTGACCATTTTTCAAAATCATCCACAGAGCTCTCAGAAATTCAAATCTGACTTAAGTTGGAACTAATAATATTGTGAGTAACTAGGTGGTGACATTTTTTCATGTTAATGCCTTGAATTCATTCTTAAAATCTCATTGAGTAAGCAGTATCAAAAAACAGCTTGGTGGGACATTTTTCAGACTTTTTATTACTTAGATTCTATGCCACGCCGAAGGATGTAAAGCTGCCCATAATTAATTATTATATGATAAAATAAAGATAATTGATTAATAAAAAATAAGGTTCTGCACCGTTTGCTCTAAAAATCATAATACTTTATGAATAATGTTTATATTTTGCCTCAACCACCCCATATAAAGTAGTTTCATTGTGTGCAAAAATAAGCAGTAAAATTGACAAGAACATGGATGTCTTTTACCATAGTAATATGACAACATGGTATATGGAACAACAGTGCGACATATTGTAGAGCTGGAAAAATTGACATTAAAAGGGTACCATATTGATTTCAGAGATGTAAGTCATGCTTGTCAATAAAATTATTTTTTTCAATTAGACCAATACTATATGAATGATGGGGTGGCTTACATGCTATAGTAAGTTGGCAACTGTGTGATCACAACATGCTATACCGCTTGCATGATCGTGTGACCATTGTTTGCCATTTTGATGAGTCAGGAGTATCAAAAGGATGATTTTAACTTCAAAATAAGGAGCTTAGTCTTAATTTTAATCTTATCCAGCTCTACATACCCTGTTGTTGTGTTGCTATGGTAACCAGATCGCCTTTGCTAATTTTTGAATTCATGGTTTATATTTACAAAAAATGAAGCTACTATATGGGAGTGATCAAGGTCAAATATGTAGACTATTCATCAAAAGTTAGGCTTTCTAAAGCAAACAGCCCAGAACCTTAGAATCAACCCGGAACCTCGAAAGTACGATTTTTCTTATTTCACACGTTGTAGGCGGAATTCTCATGCCATGTTTTATCACAAATGTGTTTCAGTATCATATGATTAAGATGTACATGTTTACGAACAAATAGTTCAGAATTCAGATTCAAATTCAGATTAATAGCATTATGCTACTCATCATACCGGGGCGTAGCCAGCTTTGGGCCAGGGGGTGCGATCGCCAAAAAAGATTCGGTTTTCAGTTTTCATTCGGTTTTGCGATTTTGGCATAAACAAGCCAAAAAAATAAGATTTATTTTGAATTTTACAAAAATTGATGCAATTTCCTTCAAAATTGAGCTAGAAGCTTCAATAAAAAGCATTTTAAAGCTCTTCTTCTTTCTCATATTTGTTCTATATTTATTGGTAATTGGCACCCTCCTCCCCCATTATATCTTTCTTTTAAATTTAGCATACAGACAGCCAAGAATATGCGCAAAGTCTTTCTCATTTGCCGAAGGTATTTTGACCCATTTTGAGATGACGTCCGGAAAGGAAAGTACAAAAGTCTAACAATACGGTTTATGTAGTGTCCGTCTCTGTCCACTTGTGTTTCATTATTTTAAATCCCAACGCTTTTTCAGATGAGGACAACAAATTTTACAGAAGTTTGGTTAAGGACTTTGCCAGAGATGTCATTCAAGTAGAAAACTTCGGTGCAAAAATGCAACTTGGATCACCAGTTTCACTGTTAAAACAAATTAGAGATAGAATTTGCGAGACCCACGAAGTGTAAGTATGCTTCTCTGAGATCCAGTTTTGAATCATGCATATTGCGTATGTGAATCTAGTACCCAAAGTTGAATATGTGCACTTAACGCCCGTGACATCGACCATTTCAAATACAGAGTAGACAAACTAAGGAAAAATACTCTACAGAATACAACTACAAAGGATCTGAGCTCTGAGGAACAACTGGAAAAGAAGAAATTATGTCTTCGTTTCAACAGAGTCGAACCTTTGGAAGCAACATTTCGTGCGATATTTTTGTTTTCCCGATTTTATCAAATTTATCCTCCTTTCAACTAAACATTACCACGCATGTATAGAGCGTAGGTTCCGGTTTCGAAATGTATTGTTGCCTTTTAGACATACTTTTGGATATTTACTAATCAATTTCTTCGCTAAGGAACCGAAGACACTGTCTGCTTTATATCAATGAAATGAAGACTTGGCTCACTTGTAATGCCTTGGTCACATTTGCTCCGATCCATCGGCCGGCGCCCGGCCGATTGAGTGTTTTGTTCAATATTGTATTCAATTTTGAACAAAATACTCAATCGGCCGGGCGCCGTAGTGAAAATCGGAGCAAATGTGACCAAGGCATCACGAAGACATTCATTTTACTATAAATGTAGTATTTTTCATTTGGAGATTCTTTTGCACTTGTAAGCACGTTGTAGATATCATTAGAGGGATTTAAATCTTTCATGACTTTGTGTGACCACTTTACTCGTTTTTCTGAACAAAATACTCAATCGACCTGGCGACGGCGTATGAATCTGAACAAATGCGACTCAGGCTTAAATGTAGCACATTCAAGGTTTTTTTCATTCTCTTCAGGTTTGCGGATCAACAGAAGTAACCAGTGACTGATTCTAAAGAAAATGGCCACACGGAAATAAAGAGGCCAGTTACTACAGACGTTATGAGAGAATTATATTATACTGTACTGAATTGCAATAAAGTAAATACACACATGTGGTGTTTTACTAAAATGTGAGGGTGTTTTGTTTAGTTATTTAGCTTGTCACAATCCAATAGGTTGTCTACTCTAACGTTCCCGTTGAATTACTTGTTAAGCTAAGTTCACACCAACGGCGTTTTGATGGCGCTTTAATGCGGCGTACAAATGGACATTAAAGCGCCGTTGGTGTGAACTTAGCTTTACGTTTGAAATCTTTTTTGTATAATCCGTGAAAACCTGTTTTCACACCAACGGCGAATGCCATCAAAGCGCCGGTGGCGTGAACTTACAGTGTAGCTTTAAATTGGCGAGCAAAGCGCCTGTCATTTTTTGTTAAAGCTACGTTCACACCAACGGCGAATGCCACGCTTTAAATCGGCGAGCAAAGCGCTGTCATTTTTGTCATTTTTCTTCATACCAACGGCGTATCAAAGCTTGACAAACCGTAACAAAGCTCAGAAAAGCTTGATACAAAGCATAAGAAAACTTAACATAGCTCTTATAGGTTCCTCACGCTTTGATCCCGCTTTGATGGTTCCTCACGCTTTGATCCCGCTTTGATCAGGCTTTGTTACGCTTGAAATCACGCTTTGGTAAGCTTTGATAAGCATTATTACGCTTTGATGCGATTATGACGCTTTAAATCAGGCTCTGATACGATTGCAAAACTCTGTTGTGCATTGTAATGCTCTGTTAAGCTCTGTCACGCATTGGAAAATGTCGAGGTCGCCGATTTCATGCCGCTTTTGATCCAATGACTATATAAAGATGCAGTAGATCCATAAAACCATTGCATCTTTAACTCGAGAACACGAAGGCAGAACAACGAGATCCAGAAATTCCAGATGGACCAGAGCATGACCTATCTGAAGAAGACATGACGTTTGTCGTACGGCGTGATATAGCGTGTGGAAACTTGTCAAGCGTAACAAAGCCTAGCAAAGCGTTTTAATCCTTGATTAAAGCGTCTCAATTCGTTGGAAAGCCTGAGAGTCCTTCATGAAAGTGTAACAAAGAGTGGCAGATATTGATGATAGCGTCTGACCCCGTGTCAGATCTTCATGCCAGATCGTAGCAAATCTTGAGACATCTCAACGAAGCGTGTCAGGTGGTAACAGACCGTCAATAGAATGGGGTCCCCGCTTTGAACCAAGCTCTGTAAGCTTTCCTAAGCTTTGAGTCAAGATTTGTTGAGCTTTGTTACGGTTTGTTAAGCTTTGATACGCTCTCGGCGCTTCGGCGCTTCGGCCCAAAACTTTTAAACAGTTTAAAATTTTTTGGCGCTCTTGCCGATTATCCCGCTTTACTCCGAGCTTTTTTACGACCTATTACGACCCAGACGCTTTAATCAAGCTTTGTTACGCTTTGGTGCCGCTTAAAGTGCCCGATAAACTATAAAATGCGCATGCGTCCAGGTGTTGATAAACTATAAATAGCGAAAATCCAGGGTTTGTCACCACAAGGTAAGCCAGGACGTGTTGAGAGAACAGCTAGTGTTGATATTGAATTTACATGTAGCCAGATAAGTTTCCTTATTGAAATTACATATGGTTATTAGCAATACTTTGTAGGTGCTAAATAATAAAATATTTAGAGTATATATGAGAGAAATTGGTCATTTCGAACCTGTTGAAAAGTTTGTGGCTCTCGGCTACACCGGGGAATTTACTTCCATGAGTACACACATAAATGTGGGGTTCCCCAAGAGGTACGCGACAAGGTGACCTGGCATCAAATGTGCGACTAAATGCTACTATCGAGAAGATAAAATAACGAATACGACAATAAGTTATTGCATGTGACAATTCCGAGCCTTCATCTCACTGAAGTATTTTGAAGTGAAAATAGGATTTTTGTTTTGATACATGTATTCAGATGAACGTAACTTTATTCTGACAACTAATCAAAACTGAACAAAATTCATTGTACGTAACAGACAATTTATTGTTTTACAATGTTTTGATTGGCTAAACGAATGAAACCAACAAATTATGACATGTAAAATGACAATTTTGAAATGTAAAATTTAAAAGTGACAAACACAACCTCCCTATCCACTCTTTGAGAGCCCTAGTAAATTAGTAATATGTACATGCAGCAGTGGTAGTGTACAGCTTATTATCACACTACGCTTTGTATTCTAAAGCCTGTTGTTTGTAATAACACTGTTCACTCAACGTATGTTTTGTGTGTGGGCAGTCAACGATAATCATTGTTTTATCCCGGTTATATGACCTCGGCAATTATAACAGAACCGTACTAAACGAAAAAACGCAAATAAGAGAAAGCTTTCACACACATACAAAAAATGAACTAGTCTAATCCGCCAGTATAAACTCTGTGCTATACGTAGCCGGGTCAGGCGCACACTTTAACAAGCCACTTTAAAGCGCCATCAAAGCGCCGTTGGTGCGAACGGAGCTTGAACAGTTTGCATTTTTAGTGCTCTTGCCGAATATCCCGCTTAACTCCGAGCTGTTCTACTACCTATTGCGACCCCGACGCTTTAATCAAACTTTGTTACGCTTTATTGCCGCTTTACAAGCCGCTTTGAAGCGCCATTGGTGTGAACGTAGCTTTAAGCTAATGCTAAGTTCAAACCAACGGCGCTTTGAGGGCTCTTTAAAGCGCCGTGCAAATCTGCTTTAAAGCACCATCAAAGCGCCGTTGGTGTGAACTTAGCTAAATTTGAATTATTGAACTATCAGATGTTTGAAAATCAAGGATTGTGAGTCTCATACTGAACCATTTTTCAACAAACTTGTTCCATTCCATTCATTCCGCCTTTCTGTCGGTTCATTGCTTTATTGTATCTTGTTTAGCAGCGTTTTAAAGGGAGGAGGGCTTCTAACAGCTGAGGACCAAAATACCGCTGTTTAACAGAATAATGTACCAACAGAAAGGCATTTTTGTTATGCTTTGAATGAAACAAGAAAAAACAATGCGGTCAAAAATTCAAATTAAAGGTCGAAGTTAGTACAGTGAGATTGATGAATTCATAGTGATCACAGAAAACGAACACACCTAAAGGCAACTTGTTGGCATTGTGTTTGACAATACTTGTCACGTATTCTCGCCTCAAAGCTGTCTAGCGGATTGGAAACATGCTTTACAACAGTTATGCACGAGGGATATTCCGTGTATCCAAAACCTCTCAGTGCATAACCCTTAGGTACGGACTAGATATGCATAAGAACAGCATTATTTAACATTCACATTTCAGATTTATTTAAGAACTTGCATTACAAATATTTTACAAAACAATATTTTTTACATTATAACATCAAATGAGTAAAACGTAAGAATGTATACCCTTTTTATGTGGAGGTGATTCAACATTTGAATCAGTATATTTAACTGTAACACAACATTTGCAACATTTGCTTTCTAGTACATTCCATTTGCAACATACTATATAGCTTTGTGGTACATTTTGTTTGCAACATTCACTTTCTGGTACATTACATCGGATCCATGGTACATTTCATTTCGAAAATTAGATTTCCAGGTACATTAAATTAGCAACTTTAGTTTCATGGTACATTTTATTTGCAACATTAGTTCCATGGTACATTTCATTTGCAACATTAGTTTCATGGTACATTTCATTTGCAAAATTAGCTTAATAGAACATTACAATTATATCAACATGTTAGCATCTTGTTACATTTAAATGAAACATTATGTTTTGTGTTTAACATCAGATGTATTGTACCATACTTTATTGTATTGTACCACACTTTATTGTATTGTACCACAAATCTGTTGAATTTGCACTTCATTGAATTTAGACCATTGTAAAAGATCCGTTTAATAGAAGTGTACATCTGTACTTCAATATTATAAAAACTCAAATCAAAATCCATGAGCACCAAATAGCACCTGGCTATTTTGAAAAATACATGAAAAAACTAAATTTACAAAAATAATTCTGTACATTTCCCATAATTCCTAGTAAGACCTCCTTTGATCGTTGAATTATGGGAGCTAGATGCTTCTGAAAGATTGGGTTAAATAAGGCTGTTTATGTAAAGTAAAATATAATATCATTGCATGATCCTCATCATGAAAATAATGAAGAGATCATCTAGAATGAAATCTGATTTATAAATAACTAAAATTACCTTGCTAAAATTCCCCTACAACTTTTTGGAATATATGTCACATACCCTAGCGGCAAATTGCAATTGCATATTCAAATTATGTCGCAAATTTTGTTTTTAATATCAGAAAATTTACATTTAAATATTCATGTGATAATGTACCTGTGCTGATTTATCTGTTTGATCATATTCCCCACAGTGCTGTTAGAAATGTTCATATAAGTTCCTGACTAAAACAAGTGAGCGCTGTTCTCAAATCTGACCCCACACCCTCCCCATCTCCCCTCTCATTAACGTTGCATACTTTGATGAAAAATACCCCAATCGACTAATGCCTGGGTCACATATGCTCCCATCAATCCGTCGGCGCCCGGCCGCATGAGTGTTTTGTTCAATATTGTATTCAATTTTGAACAAAAAACTTAATCGGCCGGTCGCCGTCATCAAAATCGGAGCAAATGTGTCCAAGGTATTACTTACTAACTTAATCACCCAATTATTGAAGTTAAGACAACATGTTTGTGCGTATTACAAGTGCATAGTGGGATTTGCTGTTGCTGTACATCGTTTTTCAAAATGTCCGTCTGTTCATGCTTATTCCACTCTATTTCTCTCTAAAATATCAATAAAGTGCCCTTTTTTCTGGCATGATGCAATGTTATAGGCTTTGAACAAGAATGACCAAAAGGTTACATTTTGAAAAAAATTAAGTGCATACATGTAATATGTATATATATACACTTGCTTAATAATATCTAATCTGTATGAATGTTTAATTTTGATGTATGCCAATAGGTTTGCTAGAGGCCCATAGCCAGGGGAGGTTCAGGAGGTACAACCTACCCCCCTTGCCTGAAAATTATTTCAAAGTCATGCAGTTTTCACCATTTTGAGTGATATGGGCCAAGATGATCAAATTTGAACCCCTTGGAATTTTTAAAAATGTGAACCTCCTTGACAAAAGCTGGCTACGGGCCTGCACTCCATATTAAACCTCATTTAACATATGTTATTTTTGCACAATGCAGTCCTCCTCCCTTTATAATTGCATTAATTTATTTTTCAGCATACACTGACAACTGAATAACCTACTTACTTATGAACTTTTTTATAAACATAGCTGCTGAGCTTAATGAAATATCAAAATAAAACTACACCTACTCTTTGTATATAGAAATGAGATAACTTTATAAAAGTGAGTTTTGATTTTTTTAGTTGCATACTGTTTACAAGGACATGCTGATTTTTAAAGGGAAAGCAAATGTTAAGGATGAATCGAGGGAAACTCAGGAGCTCAGAAGTGGGCATCCTCTTTTTAATTTCTAATAACAATATTTCTGCACCTTTAAAATTTTCGTTAATGATCTCTTCAAATTTTTGTTAGATATCAAAATGAGGATTGCAACAATAATATAGACTCTTTTTGGGAGGATTTTGTAAATATTGCTTCCGACAATTCACACACTCAACCCTTTGCTATTCCTTTAACAGTGTGAAAATATTAAATATCACACCTACTGAGAACACATCACTCCGATTATTATTAACATCCTAACAGAAATATTATTACAGTACTGTATATATTGGAATGGGATAACAACACTGTTTAATATTGTACAAGATATGTAAAATCTATTACTATGTTTGGTATGGTGCACCACAAAACGGTTCAGTCCCTTGAGTATAAATACATGTGCAGAATATCTAATATAGAATATCATGTGACTTAGAGACATTAGAATACAAAAATGTAAAACTTTCATGTGGTGTGTCACCACCATTCACCTCGAGACTGCTATCAGAAGTACCAGTTGAATTTGAAAACTGCACACCTGATTTATGAGACATCTCCGCACCTGAATGATTTATATTCCTCGAATAACTTCTTTGTGATGTGTCATGACTATTCTCTTCGGGACTGCAATGCGTCTGTAGTTGTCATAAAACAGTACTCTTTTCAATGGTAGTTCTTTCTGTGACAATCTTCTCCGTGACAACCCTATCTCCATGTGACTTAAGAGTATGTGTAATGTCTTTGATACCCTGTTGGATTCGCTTAAGATGCCCAACCTTTGTGACACCAAGCTCCTGAAATTGTTTAAAAGGGTTATTTATAATAATTCTTTTAATTACAATGAAGTAATGTAAAACATAAAATATGAGATACTACAAAGAGAAGTACACAAAGACAAACATCTCAAAGCCCTAAAAATAATATGAAGTTCACTAAAATACAAATAGCATCATAAAAAATATTCAGAAATCTCATGAAGCTAAATGAGATGTGTGACATCAAAAATACACATACATTTCAAACAATCGAGAAAAATGTCAGAAAGTTATACATTCCTTTCAAGAAAATATGAGAGAGCAAGAAAGTGTACATTCATTACATAAATTGCTCGCAAGCCAAAAATGTTCTCTTTGGTATAGTATACTGAGAATAACTTTATTGCTCCTTACCTCAAATGGCATCAGGGTTCTATGCAATAAAGTTTACAATGAATATATAAATTAATCCATAATAAAGAAACTATGAATATTGAGGTCCCCATCTCAAATTGTAGATGAACAATCAATCTGGGGTCATAATGCACTACCCCTTTGATGTCATATGCCCCATCCTTCCTTTATCAAAATATCTCAGCCCTCTGATGTCATAACTTGCTATCCCTCTGATGTCATAGTGCCCCATCCCTCTGATGTCATAATATCCCATCCTTCCAATGTCATAATGCCCCATCCCTCTGATGTCACAATGTGCTATCCCTTTGATGTCATATGCCCCATTCCTCCTATATCAAAAATAGCCCATCCTTTCTGATGTCATAATGCGCTATCCCTCTGATGTCATAATGGCCAATCCCTCTGATGTCATAATGCTCTATCCCTCTGATGTCATAATACCCCATCCCATTGATGTCAAAATGCATCTGGTGTTGTGATGCTTTACCATCTGAAGTTTACTAACCTTGAGGTCCCGCCTCTCAAGCTGCAAAAGCTCTGCCCCTCTTATGTCATCCTGTTGGAATGCTTCTTTATACTCTGTGAGTCCAAGAGCTTCTAGCCACATGCCAACCTCCTCTACACCCCACTCAGTCACTGGGATACCTAAATATAGAACATGTGATTGGTCAGAAAATGTCACATGATCAATTAATTAATAATTAATTGATTATTAAGATAATGCCACAAGAGTAAATACACTAAGGACGATGACCAAACAAAGAATGATTATTGAAAACACATTTTCATTTGAGTCAATATAATACTGTAGTTATACCTTTTTGTAAAATACTGCAAAAACAAATACTTAAACTTACCTATCTGAGACAAAAATCCTCTATCTTTGGAATCTTTATCTTTCCGACGTAACTTATGCATCAAGTTGAATTTGCTTCTCTTTTTATGCTCAGTAGTGCCAACTTCTTCCTCAAGAGGGAGTGACTGAATATTGGTGGTGATGTCAGTGACCCGTACAAGTTCACGTTGAATTATGGGTAATGATTCCCGTAGTTTCTGCTCCAGATCTGCCCTCAAATGCTAAAATGACAAATAATTAAACATTGCTTCAAATTGATAAAAAAATTATTGAAATATGAGAATATATAGTAAAACATTGACTTGAGCATATTGGTGGCCATGCCTCTTTTCTAATAGATCTCATATCTTAGAGGCATATAGGTTCCAAAAAATTGCAGACCTAACATATTTTACCATAACGAGCGCCTATTCATTTAGCAATTACATAGTTAAACTTCTCTTGACAAATAAATCTTCAAGATTTGTTGATTTTTTTGCAGAAATCACCTACTCCTGCCTCCGTCACCAGGCACAACAATGTTATCAAATGAAGAAACTTGATAAAATTAATATGAAACATGAAAAAGGGAGTGACTCACAAAGATCAAATTTGACTCAAAAAAAATTATATTGACTCACAAAGATCAATTATACCGGATCACAATATATTAATCTATATATATCAATTTCATACTTACAAGATTACTTGCTTTCTGTTCAAGGAATGTGTGAGTTTCTGAACAGAGGACTCTAACACTCTGTACTAGATCTGCCACTTGGCTTCTTAATGTGTTCTGAAAAGGCATAAACTTGTATTAAAGACATGTGTTGAATTAAGTAGTAACATTTTTTGAGTTTAGAATTAATGTACAGGGTGGTCCAAAAAATGTATACAATTTTGATAAAGTAAATATTCTCTACTGAATGGATTTTTTTCATAACATTACAGACATGTAAGTTTTGTGAGGTGCAAGTTTTTTCCTCATACATGTATACTACCATTTCACGAGCACAGCTCAATAGTTTTTTGTAATCTGCTCGATTCAAGCTCCTTGGTGCTGAATCACTTTGGCTTCTAACACATTCTATTATCATTTGAATTCGTCATGTTAGTCTTATATTTTTGCAGTTTGTAGTTAGTTATAATCTTAATGCTCATTCTCCGTTAAGCGTGACTTTTGAGGTGTCAAAATATTAATTTTTCGACCTCAACCAAAATACTAGCTCTACTTAATTCATGGATGGCTATGGTCTGTGGATGAAAAGTGCCAAGATTCACCAGCCTTGTATCAAAATTGGAGAAGTTATGACGCATTGTATAAACAGTATGCTGTTACACACATTTAATTTACGAACCTAATTTACGGGACACCTCTAAATGCTAAAATGACAAATATTGTACTTCACATACATGTACTTATTTCCTTGGTTGCATATCGATCTCATGATCCTAACAAGTAAATTGATATAAAAATCTAAGTTAATTTTCGTATTTTCAAAAAGCGTGTGTCCCGTAAATTAATCTCGTAAATTAATTTGGGATTTCAACTAATTATAACACAAGCAATATGAAACCATGATCGGGAATATAGCTGGTTTTAAAAAGAGACCCACCGTGCCTAAATATCTGTTGTATTAGATTTGTCATAATATGTCTGCATGTTCTTTTAAAATGGCAGTCCCGTAAATTAGGGCTAAAATTTCCATTCTAGAATCCATAAGTTGGACTAGAATTTCTGATTGCATGGACCCTTTGCCATAAAAAAGCCTTGTTTGTTGGATCAGGTATCAATATGTGATTAGTTTGCGATCAATAACTTGTTGATAAGAAGCTTACATACGAGACCAGGTTGAAGTGTCATAGTCTGACTCGTAAATTAGATACAACTGAGTGACAGAATTCAAAGTTAAATTTTTGAAAGACTAAAAGATGGATCGTGAGGTTAGGTATTTTTCATGAAAGTATATATACCGAAGATACATTATAATATGTTATATAGCGACTGTATGCCATTTGTATACAATGAACAGCAACTCTATGTTCACTCATCACTTGGGTGACAGGCCATTTTGGGTACCCCCACATACTTCAGACACCTCTCAGTCAGTTAAACAATATGATGCATATGTAATATGTATTTAATTTTACTGCTATTTCATAATTTTTGATAATAAATGTCATTTATACCATAAAAAGTGCATATATTTTGATAAACATCATTAGGAAGAGCAGTTACACCATTTTTCACACTTAACGGAGAATGGCTGTTAAGAACGTTTTTGTATATTGTAAACTGTACTGACTAACATGTCATTGTGATGTCATCAAAGAGTCAATAAAAGATATAAACACCCAAATCGACACATGCAACATTGAAAGTATATTCAACATTCTCTAATTAAAATATTCTAAAAACTACAATAAAACAGAACAGAAAACATACTAAAAACTGAAAATAATAATGGGTTAAAATGAACTATGTAATTTCACAATACATGCTTACAAAGTACATCTTTCTATATGCATGACTGATGTGAAATGCATTCTTTGAAGTGAGAAAACAAACCTCAACTATGAATTGCTTCGGGGATACATGAGCGATAATGCCTCAATAAATTTGTTGAATCATATCACACAATTTACTCCAATACAACATCTATGCGGTCTTGGGGACAATATCAGTCACTGGATTTGCACAGGTTGCCCTTTTAAATAACATGTATTTTTGATGAGTAAACCCATCATAACAACACGGGAAAATGCCATTTTATGTGAGTATACTCAACTGCAGACTAAAAAGGGGTAAATAAATTTAGTGATATTAGCACGAATGAGAAAATATGACATATGCAAAATAATCTAAGCATTCCTTTTTGTTTTATCATTAAACCCTGTGAGCATGCTGAAACAAATGGCTACTAGGGGAACATGCAATTCATCACTATGACAACAAATGCAATCACTATGACAACAAAGGAAAACGAAGACATAAGCACCTGTGAACACTCTCCTTCATTGTCCTGTTTTGCAAAGTAGAAAATGTCAAAATTGAATTTTCAGAAATATTATCAAATGGTGAAATTTATTTATTTAAACAATATTTGTGAATTGTGAAATTCATCTGTTTTTGTGGTACTGTTATAGATCATAAAATACAATTTAATTCAAGAGCTAATCATTTCGTCTTCGTCACATGACCTTCTAAATTAACTAATAATCAGCCAATTTACAGTTTACTTCAAGTTTTAAGATACCCAGAAAATATAATTACCTCAGCTAATCTACCGCTTGGATAAAGCTTTTCTAGATATCCAGAGGTCTCAGAAGCAAGATGGGACAGCTCATTATCAACGGCACTGTGACTAATCGACGCAACCTTTACACTGAAAAAAATTATGACAAGAAAATTATCAGTCAATTTTACATGACAATTGAAGAAGTAAAATTATTATATGATTAATACTATCACATCATTATAAATAATTGTATCATCGCTCTTTAGCACTCACTTATGAGCAACATTAATTATGATGCTATGGTTACCATGTTATTGTATAAAACATTTATACTCATGATAAGCATATCATAATGCTACAAGTATGATGACAATGTGGGTAAAGTATGTGGGGGAGAAACATCCAGAGAGTTCAGTGAAAAAATCCATTTAAGTTTTCATTTTTAAGAGATTAAAGGCAGAATCTGATCTATAGTATAGGGGGTGACAAAATTACAAGCAACATGTATAATTGACCTACCAATCTATTCCTTACAAAATCAAATACAATATCCCCCAAAAGATTCACAATATGTTATAAATTGGTAAAGTTATTAATGATTCAAAGTGCAAAAATTAGTGAAAATGTCTAAATTCTCCCAAATAATAAGAATGGTAACCATTCTTATAGAAAAATAAAACATTATTGTAAAAATCTTTAGTTTTCCTGGAATAAAGTATGCACTTTTGTGATTTTTAGAAAATAGACATGACAAGGAATGACATGAGCCAAAAATATTCAAAGTTGAAACAACTTTTTGTTTAGACTGCTCGCTATATCTGATTCTCTCTTTAATGATCAGATGATAAAAACTGTACTTGGTTATATAACATGACCTTGAGTTGTGAACTTTGATTGGTCAGAATGTGTAATATGATCAGATGTTTTGAGCTGTGATTGGTCAGATAATGTCACATGAATGTGAGTTTTAAACTGTGATTGGTCAGATAATGTCACATGAATATGAGTTTTCAGTTGAACTGTGATTGGTCAGATAATGTCACATGAATGTGAGTTTTGAACTGTGACTGGTCAGATAATGTCACATGAATATGAGTTTTCAGTTGAACTGTGATTGGTCAGATAACGTCACATGAATATGATTTTTGAACTGTGACAGGTCATATAATGTCACCTGAATATGAATTTTCAGTTGAACTGTGATTAGTCATATAATGTCACATGAATATGAGTTTTGAACTGTGATTGGTCAGATAACGTCACATGAATATGATTTTTGAACTGTGACTGGTCAGATAATGTCACCTGAATATGAGTTTTCAGTTGAACTGTGATTGGTCACATAATGTCACATGAATATGAGTTTTGAACTGTGATTGGTCAGATAATAACAGATGAATGTGAGTTTTGAACTGTGATTGCTCAGATAATGTCATCTGAATATGAGTTTTCAGTTAAACTGTGATTGGTCAGATAATGTCACATGAACATGAGTTTTGAATTGTGACTGATCAGATAATGTCAAATGAATATGAGTTTTCAGTTGAACTGTGATTGGTCAGATAACGTCACATGAACATGAGTTTTGAACTGTGATTGGTCAGATACATGTAATGTTTGCCATTTACAAACCTTGTAATGAGGGTAGTAGTAGCCTCAACAAAACTCTGTAATATTTCAGCCTCATTATCTGATAAAGTCTGTAACTGCAGGGACGTCGGCCGCTCAAACTTCTGCTTCTCAGACCAAAGACGAAGTTGTTCCTCAAAACTCTGAAATATAAATGGTCTATTGTAATATATTGCCAAAGTAACATTGTAAAAGAGAAACATTTCCTGAGTAGGTTGTCGATTGATTCGATTGTTCCAGGACTATATTAGTTGAACCCTAGCTAGGACCACACAATAGGCAATGCAAACGGAAACACATATATGCAAAACTTAAGCAAAAAGGATATTGCACAGCTTTTCAGTTTTCGTTGAAATATGCAACAATTTTTTTTTTCTCTTAAGAACATCTTCAAAAAAAATTTCATAAAATTAGGGCAAGAGTTTCCAGCCTCAATGCTAGCATGCCTATCACAGAGTGAAGTGTCAACCCCTTAGGTACTGACCCGATCCCTTGTTAGCATCTGTGCTCGGTTCTTATGTACAATCTTGATGAATCCAGGGGGTTGCACCCAGGCCTCTCCATCAACCTGCACTGGAACACCTTCATCTCCTATGATCGTTATTGTCACAGACCGACACTGAAAATATATTAAATAAGATACACAGGGTTAAATATCACGTCATTGAAAAATTCAAAATGATTGCCATGTAATTTACACAGTAAAACATGCATATTTATCATAGTAACAATTGTGAGTTGATGAGGCAAAAATGAAATAACGCCATCATATTTATTCATTTTTAAAGATTCAAATGAAGAAAATGTCTGAATAAATATTTTTTTGTAAAATTTTGGCAAGAACCACAATAAAGTATGTAAGTAATCACTTAAGACAGCCACGTGTAAGCCTCGTTGAAATACTAGATTTTACAATTTGCATCATTTTTTATTTAAATAATTTATTTGTTTTAATTCACCTGTGCTATCCTATGATGCTGTATATTGATAACCCGTGACATCGCCATCTGAACACTACCAAATACGGCAACTACTTCCAGGATTTTGTCATCAAAAGATGGCGCTGTGAAATGTTCATCCTCCTTTTTTCCACCCCAGAAATTCGTGCCTCCCATATAGCTTAAAAAGTAATTTCAACGGTTGATTATAAAAAACAAGTTACAGACTATTAAATATTATCTGATGCTGTTATGATAATTTTACATGTATCTTGATATTCAGTATCAGAAAAATATTACATTGCGGTCAGTTTGGCTCACAATATTTCACTCCATTTCTCTGCCTGATTTCTTGCATAATACAATTTAGAGTATTGATTCCATGTCTGTTTACCTTATTCCTTTCAAATTCCTTTCATTTTCTCAATATTTGAATAAACAGTCACATTTTCTTGCATTTCTATACAATTTAGAGTATAGTTGACTCTAGTATACTACTACTCCATTCTAGTATACTCCATTCTTTGCTAATTTCACTTTTTCATACTTTATTTTACATTTGAAAATGGGACATATTGACATTTCTGTAAAATCAGGTGTACATACCTTGGAATGTTAAGAACGACTAGACCCTGGAGATTTGGTAAAGGAATCCTCTGACCATCACACTCTAAAATAACTTTCTGTTCTAAGTTCTTATATGTTCTCTGTAGGATCTCTTTTCCGCCTAAAACACCATACCACATGATGTTCCTAGTTCGACTACGGCACTTCTCAGGATGTTCTTCCCTTTTGTAGTGGAATTCCAAAGTAATTTTTGCGTCAAGCCCAATACCAAAATAATTGTTCATGACGCACTTTTCTTGGTAGTCGTCCCTAAAATCGAACAAAAAAGTTGAATGAAAATCTCTTTTCTTGATAGTCGTCCCTAAAATCGAACAGAAAAGTTGAATGAAAATCTCTTTTCTTGATAGTTATCCCTAAAATCGAACACAAAAATCTGAATATTTCTCAATGAAAATCACTTTTCTTGTCCTTCCTAAAATTGTACATAAAAACTCAAATCATAGATAAATTACATGTACTTACAAAGCCACCTCATCTTCTATAAGTGGAGAAGCCGCAGCACAGAGGGCGTCTGCATTTGCTAGCAGGACTTTACTTATAAACCCACCCCCTCCTCCACTGGCACCTATACCACTGCTGCCACCTATTAATATAAATACGTCTGGTTGATTTGTCTAATGCTATTGCATTATGGGAAATATCAAGTACAGGTATTATTTCATAGACAATTGTAATACAAACTGGTCTGGTGGCTCGTACTGGAATTGCGTATTTCAAATAAAAAAGACTTCTACACTGCTGCCATCTATAAAATACAGGGACTGTTGTAAATATGGAAAGACATCTCTTGCTGCCATCTGTGCACAAAAGGGAATTTGCTTAAGTTCTAGGTAAAACAAAATGAATCTTCTACATCTATGAAAAAAGCTGTTTGGGGATTTTTATTGCATTATGGGAGATATGGAAACTGACATTCTTTATCACTTTGAATTATGGGAATAATTTATTTTTATCAAAACAAGGTTTTGATATTCTTGTCTGAATTGAACTGAATCTCTAGCTGTTGCTTGATTATACAAGATTCAGGTTTAAATCTTTATTTACATTTTACAGCTTTTAGTGTTTTGTCTACTTTATATCTCTCTTTTTAAAACACAAATGCTAAAAACAAATAACCAAGATCCCATAAACCCAAAAAACAGAACATGAATTGGTCTTATTACCACCTTGCCGGGCCAGTTCTAGGGGTTTTAGTGCTAGTTTAGAAGGCATTCATTTTACTATATCGACCTGAGAAATGTGTGACGTCATATAGGCGAGTAGGCCAAATAAATAAATTATGAGTTTAATAGTTCAACTGACCCTATGGGAAAATTTGGTATCATAGCAAAGCTCAGAGAATTGTCTATGTCGTGTGATAAATAATTTGTGTTGGAATAGGTGACGTTGTCATGGAAACGGGCGTTGAACAAAAGATGTCCTTAATAAGAATAAAAAGTACAGCAACATTGCAAGGGATATCTGGTTCAGTCAATGTGCAACTTTGAAAGAATGAAAATTAAGGAATTGAAAGAATTTTAGTTTATCTTCAACATTTAACTCAAAATTATACATATTCTACTCTTTTTTGATTATTGTGATGTCATAATGGTCTATTTTGAATGAAAAACAGTTGGCCTCATATGAAATTTATAACACCATTAGATTGTGTAATCTCAATTGTTTACAAATGTTACCTTTATGTATATCAAATGAAAGCTACTGCTCTCAGGATTATTTTGGTATATAAATTGTAAACATTGATCATTTACTGTCTGAGATATTATGATATAAGGTGATTTAAATTGTGGCCTGAGTTACAGAAATTATCAGCAGTTCGGCATTATCGCAAATGACAAAATATTGGCGAATTTCTACCATTGTATACATTCTTATTGATATCATAACTTTAGTAGTATTTTGACCCTATGAGAAAAGTTGGTATCAATGCAAAGCTTTGACAACTGTCTATGATTTGTGATATATGATTAGTGTTTAAACAGGTGCCGTTGCCATGGAAACGGGCATTGAGCAATAGGTATCCTTAATAAGATTGAAATACGTATAGGAATGGGCATTTCCAGCCAGTGATCCAAATATGTATATTTTATTAATAGCAATTGTGTGGAAATGACCAATTTTTATCAATCTTGAACCATAATGACTAAATGATTCTATATATTAAATTTTTAATAGTGTTATTGTGACATCACAATAGCGGATTTCAAATGAGAAACAGTTTGCTTTACATGGTCTCCGTGAAACTGATATCTTCCATGATTACAATTGCAAAAGAATATGCACTTTATGGATATCAAATTAAAGCTAGTGCAATAACGAGTATTATGATAAGTAAATCAACATGATTAGATCAAGCTATGCCGTGGTTTCATGCTTTTGAATCTGGGGTATCAGTGGTTATAGACACAAAATACTGTATGAGAGGTCTGAGACTAACATCTTTTATGCTAGTCCCGGGAGAGGTGGAACAACTTTTTATCCTGATCGATGAGTCTGAAAGTCGCAAGAAAAGTGTTTTCCTCAGTACATACGGTATGTTGTCATGTATGTCTCATATCAGACAAAGCTTTATAAACATTTAAAGTCACTAATTTATATATTGTGATGTCATTATAATAAATGATTTACAACTTTTGGTCTTTTTTAAAGTTGCACTAAACTGTTTTACTCATTTTAGACATGGGCGTGATTTAGAAATAATTATATTCATTAATTCCGATTGGCTTTGTCTCCTTATTAAAAACTATTTAGAAAAGTACCCAAAATAAATTATTTTTCGGTGAAACTTATAAATTGTTCTTAATGATTTGAAAGTTTCATGTTCATTAAAGAAATAGCAGGGCGTTCAAAACTTTTGGACCCCCTCGTATATGAATTTTGTGAAGACTAATTATACCACTTTCGGAATCCATCGAGCTGTCTTTGTAAGGGATAATTTTTTGTGAAGTCGATTATAAATATTTTTGTTATTGAAATGCGTACAAATGAGAAACTAATGCATATTTCTACTTTGGTTCAGCCTTCAAATTTTGAAATCACGACATGTCCATATATGGCAAAAATATCAATGTTGCACTCCATGAGCCAATCATCCATGATAACTTCACATACTGTACGGCATGGTCACATGACCTCAAAAAGTCTGCAAAAATATTCCTTCAATAAATTCATGATTATTTGAGGATTCTTTTCATGTAGTCGACTATTGGATAAGTATAAATCTTATATTGTGAAATATACTTTAAAAATAATTAGCAATTTAATTTGTATACAATCAACAATTTTAAAGAATGATTTCATAAGAATTTATCATTCAATCAAGTTAGGAATACTGTGTTTATATAAATCAAATTCTGGTTCTGGCATCGCCTATTTGAAGGAGTTGCTATGTTTTAAATGGGAATTATTTGAGCTAAGGACAATGTCTATCAAGGCACAACCAGGGATAGGGCCTTTTATGGAACAAACATGCGAACTACTATGGATTGACGGGATACCACTGTGGCCTTCTATTGAACAACCATGACCATGTAGTAATCTACAAGAGTCTTCCTTGAAATCACTGTTGTGCTGGTACCGGGCCTTCTATGAAGCCACTGTCCCTTATTCTAAAAATTCTAAATGCCAATCAGGACCTTCTATGCAGACACCACCATATGTATGGAAATCATTAAGGTCTTATTTGGACCTAATGTTTCCATCATTGAAAAAAACGAAGGCCCTCCTTCAAGGAACTGTCTTTGTTGTTTTTATCCCAACGAACGAAGTTCGTTAGGGATATAGTGAAGCCCTCCGTCCGTCCGTCCGTCAGTCCGTCAGTCTGTCAGTCCGTCAGTCAGTCAGTCAGTCAATCCGTCCGTCTGTCCGGAAGATAACTCAAATACTAGTTGACAGATTTTTTTCATATTTAGTGGAAAGATGTATATTGGTGAATAGTTTTACGCAAAAAAAATTTTTTTCAAGATGGCCGCCGCTTTAAAAATGACGGGACTTTTTCGCAAAAATCATAAATTTTTCATTCTAAACCAAAGTAATTAATATTATTGTTTGAAATTTTGGTAGTGTATTCACAACATTTATCTATTTCACATATATTCCGTGTTTTTCATCCTGACCCCCAGGGGCCATGTATGGGGGGACAGGAAAACAGAAATTTTCGCTAATTTTTAGATCTTTCTGAAGTATAGCTTTATTATACTCAAATGAAAGGCAATTAAGAGTAGATTGCAAATATTGTATTTTTTTCTGATTGGAGCCTCGTAAAATTCAAAATGGCCGTCTAATGTACGATTTCGCAATAATTTTTTGATCCCTTCAAAGTATGGCTATATTATACTCAAATTGAAGGAATTTTGGAGTAGATCACAATTATGGTATTATTTTTCAGATTTGTACCTCAGAAAATTCAAAATGGCTGCTTTGCAGGAATTCGCAATTCTAAAATCTAATTTTTTCATTTTCAACCAAAGTAATGAGTATAATTGATTGTAATTCGGTAATTGATATTTTGTTCGATGGGATTTGCTACTCCGCGGAGTTGCCGTTATCTAGTTTTGTTTTTTTTTACATAGATTTATTCCTTTAGTTAACAATTATAGACATGCAATTGATTGCAAAAGTTTTATAAAAAACATTAGCGGCAATTTTAGACAATATGAATAGGAATGCATTAACATTTAAAAATTCATCAAAGTAATGTTATAACTCATATAAGAAACTATAATCCCATGGGCCAGGGATGAGTTTACACATGCATGCAAAAATTAGCCAAACCAATCAATTTGGCTCAAACTTTGATCCACAAAATGGCTCATTAGTTCTATTGATTTTTCATTTAATGAATTATCCAAATCTTCATCACCATACAAAAGAACTGAATTTTGTCGGGTTTACGAAAAACACCGACCGCCGACCACTGACCACCGACCAGTCACTCTCCACAGTTGGGTACACGTGGTCGGTGGTCGACTGTCGGTCTTTTGCATGAAGATAAAAAGATGCAAAATTAGAAGAAAAACTAAAACTTTGAATCCAATGACTATAGTACCTTTACAAGGTCGTGATTTAAAAATGTATTTAATCATTTCAAATCACGATGAAAAACGTAACATCGTCGTGGTGTGTAATGTCTTATTTTTAAGTGATGTCCCAGTTGTTAGAAGACCAATTTCATTCTGGTTAGTAACTTTGGATTATGATGAGAAAACGCACGTAACATTGCATAAGTTCATTAATATGAAACGCAATTAACAAAAACACACTTAACATTGTCGGTGTTCACGTCGTAACGTAATGTTTGATTTCTCAGTTGTTCAACCTCAACTGGTAAAAACTAGATTCAATATGACAAAAGAAACTTTCTAATGGTGTACTGAAATAGTTAGTCACTTTTAATCCCGATAAGAGAACGCACGTAACATCGTGTTCATAATTCACTAGGCTATGACGATAACAAATCATTTTTATTTCGAAATTGTACGTTAGATTTCAGTAAAAAATTAGGATAGATAGAAATGATAGGTTGGTTAATGGTAGGGAAGGAATCTAAGGCAGGACAATTGAATCGAGAGGAGACGGTCATGC